AGGTGCAGTGAATTAATTTTTAATCAGTGAATAAAAAAGTGTTTTCCGAAGTTGTTTTCCAGCAGTCAGCTAAAAACGTTCCTTCTTCCAGTCAAACCATTCGTAGTTTGTTTTCTCCTCTTTTTTAAATTCTCATCACTTATTTTTTCATGTAAACAAAAAAAGGCAAAAGGCGTCTTTTATAAACAGTGTTTTGTTACTTAGATTTTTGAAAATCTCGTTTTGTAACGCATCGTAGTTCATTTCGGCTCAAGATCCTTCCTGATACGCTTTTTTCCGGAATCTCTGGTTAACTTTATTCTTCAAACTATCATTGCGCCTTTAGCGCTATCTGCGCTTGCGTGATTTCAAGTCGAAATTGCACTGTTGCATGCAATCATTGTCTTGCAGATTGCACGACGCACTCAAATCCAATTAGCAAATGGCCTCCACGTCGTGTTTTTTAGCACTGCTCGCGCTGCTTTCCATAGCACTGATTTCATCAACAAGTGCCGCCATTTATAAACTACGAAAGGATGTGCTTCCTGAAGACGGTCAGCGAAACACTTTTTTCAGTACTTCCAGCAACAGTACCAAAAACACCAAAGCCGGTGTGGGTAACCCTTGTTAATGAGATTGCTGGGACGCACCCATATTCTCAGTAGATTTATGTCAGGCGCTTCAACTTTGAGCTGCAAACTTTCAGGCAGCACCCACCTCTTGTTCAATGTATGTGCGCTACCTTTTCGGAGGTCGCCAAGAGTCGAGGGTACCACTCAGTAATACACAACTCAATGTCAGCAAGGCGAACAGTATGTCCACGTGGCTGCATAGATGTCCTTACGCCATTCGTTTTACAAAGAATGTTACTGTTCATACGGTTACGAAAAAAAAAAAATCCCGTCGCTTCTTCCTTCACATTAAGAAAGGCTTTCGCCAGAGACCGCGTTTCGCATTTATATGGCCATCTCCTCAAGCAACGGGATTTTCAACACTAAATTTTATCATTTTTGTTTCGCCACCTATACGTTTGCCCGCAAGTATTGTCAAGCGAGAAACATGAGACTAGACGCCAGGAAATAAGTCTCTCGAAGTAAAAATAGTGCTAAATTCTTGTAGTAGTTTTCGCTTTTTTTGATACAAAGCTCCAGAAAGATCAGACTCCGAAATACTCCACAAATGGCAAAAATCCCGTTACACTTGGTCCAGTTCATAAGGACATTTCCTCGAAGGACACTCTGACGTCTCATACTTATTTCTCATAAGCTACCGTTTATGCATAAGAACTTCTTCACAGTCAGCAATTCTGCATTTTTTATAAAAAATATAGAAAGCCACGAGTTTTGCAGAAATACGGCAAGAAATGCTGGATGATTTGCTGCAAAGGGAATACGCCGATCGATATCGAGACTATATAGAGAGCGGACTGTCTGGTACAATTTTGAAAAGTTCAAATTATAAACATCTACAGCTCCCAATTTTATGTGTGGAAAACACCACAAATTTATCTCATCAATTTCAGTTAAATTCCGTGTAGGACTGAAGCTGAATTTAACTTCGCAATTCCATGCATTTCTAAGGATGTTTTTGTAGCTAGAAAAACAAGGGGAAAAGGTTTTCACAAGCATGAGACAAACCCCACTTCTCAATAGATCTTTTTGGCAAAATTTCTTTTTTGTTTCTTTTGTTTGTCATGCTAAAGTCTCCGATTTTTTAAGCACCACCAAATTTTTCAGATTTTTTTTAGATGTTTACTCACTATGGAACCCCAAATCTTTTTGTTTTTCTCGTATATCAGCAACGTGCAAATATGAAATTCTGTGATCAGGCTAATGCTGAAATAAAAATGTGAGCTTAGTTTTCTCCGTTTTAGCAGCCGATGCAGAAAATGCCGTTGCTGGTGGAGAAGTCCGTGCAGCACTACGACCACAAGATAAGCGGGCACAAACATTCGTTCGATTTGGCAAACGAGCACAAACGTTCGTGCGATTTGGCAAATAAATTTGGCACAGTGTGACAATTTCCAAGTTCGTTTTTGTTTAATTTTATGCAGATGGTGTGAACAGCTTGCAGCGATCCATTTTTAGAACTTATTTCTATTCTA